CTGCAGACACAAAAACACTCTTTACAATACCAATAAGAGTACCATAAAGATATGGAAATGCATGCAAAAGAAAAGCTCGGACTTTGTAAGAACTCTTTGTGTGTGCTGGTCTTTGTGGGGACATTAAGACCGACAGAGTGAGGACACATGTAGAACATTTGTACATTTTGGCCCTTCTTCCCTTTTCTAAGGCCTTTCAGACGGTTAAGACTGAATCAGGATCATATTGTAAGATAAACAAAACAAGGCATTAAGTAGAAATTAAAGAGTAGAAATAAACAATACTAGAATTGAAACATCTCAAAATAGAATGAAAGCAGCTTTAAAAAGGAGAAGATATACATGAAGATAGTGTATAGTGTGGTTGTTGTATTGAGGTTGGGGTTCAGGGCTAAGGGGATGCATGTTGTCACTGACTGGCAGGAGAACAGGAGTGTGTCTGAGCTCCTCCTCAGATTCATTATCCCCGATGCTCCCTGACTCTCTGCAGGTCTACAGTTTTACCCTGATCCTCTTCATGCTATCAGAGCTAACACGGAGACATCAGAGGAAGCGATCAGGCGGATCAAACGTCCGAGCGTCAGATGCTATCGCAGCGCTGTGATGACGACGGAGGGAAAGTGACGGGCTGTCAGTCAGAGCGCTCGCTGACACATGGCTCTGTTTACTGCAGCTGATCCAGGGTCAGATAGCAGCACCAGGCCTGATTACTGATCTGCAGACAGGATGTGAGATCACCCGAGAGCCGCACGCAAACACACACTCAGACGGGACAACACGGGGAAATAATGGCTGAATTAATGCAAAGATGAAGCGCTAATCAAACCAAAGATCTTATAAAAACACAGCAGGGAATCTGGGTTAACACGAACTTCCTCCGTTATGAGTTTACACACGTGATCACGGTTTAATGAAAGCTAAATATAGAAACCTGCAGCAGCACATTTCCTCATTACTGCAGTTTCATTCCTCCACACTAATCTCTCTTTAGTGACTAATTGTTGAGAGGCTGTTATTAATGCGGGAGATGCTCTGCCCCTTTAAATAAAAAGGTTAATTAGCTGTGTTTCTCTGGGAGTCATCGTGCAGAGGTGCTTATTACACCAGAAGCCATCAGGGGAGAGAGTGAGAGGGATATTATCTCCTGCTTCTATGCTGGGAGGCTTTTCATTGTAACGTGCAGAGTGACATGTTGTCTTTGCAGTTTCTTACTGACATCAAACCATTGAGACACTGGATTGGCAGTAGATTGAATGTTAAGAAATGACTGCAATCAATATTTTATTTTATTGGAAATATAACTTTAACTTCTTATGTTTATATATCTCATTTTATCTTTTAATGCACATTTTTCTTGTGTTTTTAAGAATATATTTTTGTTTAATTTGTTCATTGTTATTCTTTCTCAACTGTCACGAAAAACAATTTCCCCCCTGGATTATGAAAGTATTACTGATGCTATGTTATCGTTGTATCAGTGGAATAATATGGTCTTAAATGACAATAATATCCTCTGTCTCTGTGAAACGGTATCACCTAACCAAAGCAGTTATAGTGTCAGGTTTATTCATATCCCACAGATCCTGTTTCAGCAGAGGAGCTCCACAGCTGTCACAGAGCAGACAGACGAGTCGGGTCTAAATCCCTCTTAAACCCAGCAGAGCTTCAGAGGAACGACAACATGTCAGAAATAAATGGTCCTGGTGTCGGCGTGGAAAGGGTTAACGTGACATCTGATCACTGAGTCTGACCCCCCCAGTCTTTGTTGACAAACAGAGGATGTGAATCCCAGATGTGCTGCAGAAAGACGAGATGCTAATGCTAAGTCCTGTGTAGCATGTGTGGTATCGGGTTCAGGGGCTAACATTATCCTCGGGGGTCCTGGGGAAGACATTAGTGAGCTAACTGCACCGTGAGAGCTAGCAGCCTGGAGTACATCCCTCCCAGGAGCTAGCTGTTGTTAGCACAGAGTCCAAAGACCTGCTAATAGCTAACTCCCTGCCAACAGCTAACTCCCTGCCAACAGCTAACTCCCTGCCAACAGCTAACTACCCCACTAACTCCCTGCTAACAGCTAACTCCCTGCTAACAGCTAACCCCTGCTAACAGCTAACTTCCCCACTAACTCCCTGCTAACAGCTAACTCCCTGCCAACAGCTAAATCCCCCACTAACTCCCTGCCAACAGCTAACTCCCTGCTAACAGCTAACTCCCTGCCAACAGCTAACTCCCTGCCAACAGCTAACTCCCTGCTAACAGCTAACTCCCTGCCAACAGCTAACTCCCTGCTAACAGCTAACTCCCTGCCAACAGCTAACTCCCCCACTAACTCCCTGCTAACAGCTAACTCCCTGCTAACAGCTAACCCCTGCTAACAGCTAACTTCCCCACTAACTCCCTGCTAACAGCTAACTCCCTACGAACAGCTAACTCCCCCACTAACTCACTGCTAACAGCTAACTCCCTACGAACAGCTAACTCCCCCACTAACTCCCTTGCTAACAGCTAACTCCCTACGAACAGCTAACTTTTAAAAGCAATGTAAATAATAACAAATTAGAAGGAAAAACAGATTTAAAAAAATACAGATGTAAGTATTCTGACACAGAACGATTTTAGAAGCAATGTATTTATATTGGTGGTATGTTTCGTGCCTGCACCAAATAATAACAAATTAGAAGGAAAAAAAGATGACATAAAATACAGATGTCAGTATTCTGAGGCTCTGAGACATTTCTTTTCCTCACTTACGGCAAAAAAACTCTGACATTATACAATTTAAAATAAAAGGGATAGGGTTAGGCTTAGGGTAAGATATTGAGTAAGAACATGTTTTTATGAACCACACAGCTTCTGGTCTTCCAAGACCCGACCGGACAAAAAGACGTGTTGCAGGCACGAAACATACTACCAATAGAAATACATTGCTTTTAAAATAAATCGTTCTGTGTGACACGAAAAAAATGCGAAAATCGTGTTGGTGAACACGAATCAATAGATTACATTAATTTTGTGACTAATAACACGAAATGCCGTGAGACTGGGTTGACTATTTACATGCTACACTTATAAAAAAAATAGGGTTGCTGTACTCATTGTTGTCCACCTTTGTGTAATGTATATCTAATATTGAATGCATGCCTCTTAATTCATGTCTGTCCGCTTCACTTTTGCAGTAACAATGTACATCCCGCCATTGTTGGACTTATAAAGGTATTCTGCTTCTGAAACACAGCGGCTCTGTGCTCCTCATCTGGAAATGCTAACAGAGAAATTGATGCTACTTGATATCGTTAAGAGGTCCCTTATAGACCCTGCTTCTCTTCATGGCAGCAACTTCAGCGAACAGGAAGTAAACAGATGCTGCTGCGGACCCTCTGCAGTCACATTCCTGTGTTTCTGTGTTACTGTAACCCGAGACGCTCCACTTATTGTGCAGATTGTTCAGATTGAGGCAGATTGTTCGGGGATTACCGCGCTGAGCCCCGGCTTTACGTGTGTGGAGATGCTAACTGATTTAGCATGTGCTGAAACAGAACCCCGTCTCTTTGACCCCGGAGTCTCCCCCCTGCTGGGCCCTCACACTCCTGATGCTAATCGATCCGTTTGGCACCCCTCCAGTTTGTGTGTGAGTGTGTTAGTGTGTGTGTGTGTGTGTGTGTGAGTGTGTTAGTGTGTGTGTTCAAGGTTTCAAGGCTTTTATTGTCATGTGTACATAGCTACAGTGACAATGAAAAGGTCACAGGCTCCTCCAACAGAGCAACACAATAAAACAGATACAATAGTGCAAATACAAATAAAATGTGTGTGTGAGTGTGAGTGTGAGTGTGTGTGTGTGTGTGTGTGTGTGTGTGTGTGTGTGTGTGTGTGTGTGTGTGTGTGTGTGTGTGTGTGTGTGTGTGGGCTGCTCAGCAGATGGTCCTACAGCTTCAGTGTTATGGAGAGTGTTTGTAGCTCGAGGCTCGGAGCTGAAACACATTAGTTCTGTCCGTCAGATATTAATTCCCAGTCTCCTCCGGTGGGTGTGTGTGTGTGTGTGATGATGAAGGCCACCGTCGGCCTCGTGTCGCAGAGGAAGCGTGATTTTGTATTTATTTATATCTCCTTTGATGCGCTGTACCAAACATCTCTTACACTTGACCTCTCCATTACTGCGCCGTCTCACTAGATTTCTCCACTTCCTCAAACAATTCCCTTAAAGTCGCCCTGCAGGAATCAGACACACCTCCACACATGCAGCGGATTACAGTCCTGACACGCGACTCATAAACACCAGCAGACAATTAGAGTGCACCTTCAGGCACGCTTTGAAGAAGGTCAAAACACTGGAAGTGCGTCCTCTCATTGAGAAACTCGAGATCTGATGCAGGAGTCAGGTCTATTCTCTACGGTAACATCGGAGAGATCAAGCTCTTCATATTCTGACTCAGATCAGGAGTCTGTTGTGCACCAAAACTGGCGACTTGCAGACCTATTGGCATGGTTAGCATGGTTAGCATGGTTAGCTTCTTCTTTTGTCCATGCAAGGTTTCCTAAAGCTTTAAGCAAGTTAAATGTAGACCTTATAAGACTTAAATGACTTTACAAAAAACTCAATTGAAGAGGAAAACCACACTAACAGTTAGGATAGATGTTAGCTATCATTTTGAGATCGCAAATGAATTATTTAGATGAATTAACTCAATACCTTTTAGAGTTCTTATGAGTTAACGGGAAGCTTGTCATGTTGTTCGTAAGCTTGTTATCGCTAGTGGATGTCAAACATAAAAAAACATCTAGTGGGTTTTCTAGGTAGATATGGAGGGAGAGCTTTTGGTTGGTTCATACCGAGTTTCTCCGGCTTAAAGCAAGTGAAATGTAAGATGTGTAAAGACCTTCTAATGCCACTGACATTTGAACTATAGGAAAACAACTTCATCTGTCTTTACTGTCCAAACGTTCACTTTGCTACTGTGATACAACCATCCGCTCTGCTCTCTGTCTTTGCTAAAGACTATTTC